GAAATGGGTAAAAGACTGAAAGTTTCCCCTTTAAATCTGGGAACACGATAAGGGTGCTTGCTCTTACCACCTCCACCCAACATTGTGTTGGAGTTTTTACTCAGTGCAATAAGGCAAGGAAGAAACAAGCACAGATTGGAAAGAGAAATAAAACTGTCTTTACTTGCAGAAAACATGATTAAGTAAAAAATTCTTAAAAATCTAGAAAAATAAGCTATTAGAACTAATAAACGAGTTCAGCAAGATTGCAGAATACAAAGTCAATATAAAAACAACTGCATTTATATACTAGAAATGAAGAATTAAAATTGAAATTTAAAAGTATTTTCAGTAGCACTAAAAATCAAATATTTAGGAATAAATTTTTTTTATAAATATTTTTTTAAGAGAGAGAGAGAGAATTTTAATATTTATTTTTTAGTTTTTTTGGCGGACATAACATCTTTGTTTGTATGTGGTGCTGAGGATCGAACCCAGGCCGCACGCATGCCAGGCGAGCGCGCTACCGCTTGAGCCACATCCCTAGCCCCCTTAGGAATAAATTTAACAAAACATTTGTATAATCTGTATACCAAAAGCTTAAAAAATTGCTAGGAGAAATTAAATGAGACATAAATAAATAAATAAATGAACAGAAATAAATAACATATTTGTGGGTTGGGAAGACTCCATGTTAAGATATTAATTTTTCCCAAATTAATCTAAAGATTCAATGCAATCCCAAGTCCCAAGAAAAATTCCATCAAATCTTTTCTTTTTCTTTTTTTTTTTTTTTTTAGAAACTGAAGACAATTTATATAAGAAAGCAGAGTACTGAAAGTAGCCAAAATAATTCTGTAAGATAAGAACTAAGTTTGGAGGACTGGCACTGATTTCTGTACTTACTCTGTAGCTACACTAATCAAGACAGTCTGGTATTAGTGTAACAATCTATGAAACAGAATCCAGAGGCTAGAAATAGGGTCACATACATATGGATAGCTGAGATTCAACAAAGATGCCAAGGAATTTAACAGGGAAAAAATAGTCTTTCAACAAATGGTGCTAGAATAACTTGGTATCTATATGGATGGAGGCGAAGAATACCAATCTACCTGACACTATACACAAAAATAAACTCCAAATGTACCATTAGGGCTGGGGTTGTGGCTCAGTGGCAGAGTGCTTGCCTAGCACGTGAGGCATTGGGTTTGAATCTCAGCACTGCATATAAATAAATAAAATAAAGGTTCATCAAAAGCTAAAACCAAACCAAACAAACAACGAAAAAAATTAACATAAGTATAAAAATAAAAACCATAACATTTTTAGAGGAAAACATAGATGACCTTTGTGACATTTGGGTGAGCAAAGATTTCTTAGGACATGAAGAACACAAAGAAGAAAAATCGATATACTGGACTTATCAAAACCAAACACTAACTGGGCACAGAGGCATGTGCTGTAATACAGCGACTGGAGGCTAAGGCAGGAATGCAAGTCCCATCTGACTGCAGAGTTTCAGAAAGTAATAGCCCTGCTTCAATTCTACCTTCCAAAATGCCTACAAGTTTCTTCTTGTCCAACTCTAACTAGACTTACACTATATGAAAGGGAATTTTGGGTAATACCCAGCTTGACCAAGGTGACAATAATACAATACAACATGCACACAACACAATTTAAAGACTCTCTCATCACATTATGTATGTGAATGCTACCTCAATAAAAATGAAAAATAATAGATTTGATTATTAACACTCTATTTTTTAGTTTAGCTATATAACCAATCATATTAATTGAAAAGAATTATCAGTCCTATCTCATTGTGAAAAATATCCAACAAATTTTATTTATAATTATTTGACATTTCCCGTATGTTTTCTAATGCTGTTTACTAATAATAATGGAACTAAAAACTCAGACCAGAAAAATAACGAACTTTAGAGACTTAGGATCATAAGAAATTTTTTTTTTTTTTTTTTAAAGAGAGAGGGAGACAGAGAGAATTTATTTAATATTTATTTTTTAGTTTTTGGCGGACTCAACATCTTTGTTTGTATGTGGTGCTGAGAATCGAACCCGGGCCACACGCATGCCAGGCGAGCGCGCTACCGCTTGAGCCACATCCCCAGCCCCCATAAGAAATTTTTTAAAAATTTAATTTCCATTTGTTGACAAAAGCATATGACTAATAAAGAATTTATGCTAGGGAGCAGGGATTGTGGCTCAGTGGTACAGCATTTGCTTAGCATGTGTGAATAACTGGGTTCAATCCTCAACACCACAAAATAAATAAAGTTATTAAAAAAAAAACCCCAGAACTTACGCTAGGGGATGGGGACCCAGCTCAGTGGCAGTGGTTTAATGTGCTTAGCATGTGCAAAGCCTTGGGTTCAAGCCCCACTGCTTCTGGGAAAAAAAAAAAAAAAAAAAGTACTGGGAGCCAGGCCGGGTGGTGCACCTCTGTAATCCCAGCGACTTGGAAGGCTGAGACAGGAGGATTGCAAGTTAAAAGCCAGCCTCAGAAAGGGCAAGGCCCTAAGCAAACTCAGTGAGACCCTGTCTCTAAATGAAATACAAAATAGGGCTGGGGATGTGGCTCAGTGGTTGAGTACCCCTGAGTTCAATCCCCGGTACCCTCCCCACCCCCAAAAGTACTGGGAATTGAATCACTGAGCTACTTCCCTAGTCCTTTTTATTTTATTTTGAGACAAATTGTGCAGGCTGGCCTTGAGCCTGTGATCCTCCTGCCTCAGGCTCCCGAGTGGCTGGGATTACAGGTGTGTGCCACCCTGAGGATATTTTGGTACCAAAGATTAAATTCAGGAGCACTCCATCACTGAGCCACATCCCAGCCCTATTTTGTTTAGAGACAGGGTCTCACTGAGTTGTTTAGTGCCTCACCATAGCTGGTGCTGGCTTTGAACTCGCCATTCTCCTGTCTCAGCCTCCCAAGCCGCTGCTGGGATAACAGGTATGTACTACCAGGCCGGCCTGAGGAATTATTTTGATAAAAACAAACAACACAACAACAAATTTTTTTTTCCTCTAAAATTAAGGAATCCATTTCCGTGACTGTCATGAAGCCCTGGGTGAGTTAGCAGGAATAAGTTTGGAGGTAACTATCCTGGCTCTGGAATTCCTAGTAACAATCACTGTTTTCTCTCTTGATCTCAATGGAAAACCCAGGATCATATAACCTCAACATTCCTGGCAAACGCCAAAGCCAACTATGTAGGAGGCTTTTTTAGAGGAGAAGACAACTCTTGTCTTCCCAGAGGATAAATCCTCCACGTTGCTCTATGAGGCAGATAGCAACCCCGAACCATGAATGGGTTGGGGTCTGCGCTGGCCTCAATGGCTTCCTTTCAATTAAAGTAAGTGGACAGCAGTAAAGTTCAACTCCCCCTTCCCCACCCCGGGGGTCATCCTACAATCATTGAAAAACACCTGGCTCAATTAAGTGTCAAATATTATTTTGTTACCTACACATTTCTCCTTACCTACTCTGAAAGGGAAATAAATGTCAATACCAATCTCCAAAGTAAGATCAGACAGGCTGGACAGGTCAGGAGAGACCTACATTTTACCTTCTGGCAAGGCAATTTTTTTTCTTTCTTTGGAGAAATGTCTACTTTTGTTAAGACTACCTAAAACTGCATACATTTAGCTACAGTAAAATTCCTAACTGCCTTGGAAGAAGCAGAGCCCCTTTCACACCAAGACAGCACATTAGCCGAACTTTCAGCATTAAGCATCAGTGCTTTTGGGGGTGTGGTGATGGCATTCTACCTCTCAGCATCACTAACATATTCAAATTTTTTTTGTTGTTGCTTCATATCCAGCCCTCCAAAAAGACCACAAGAATTTATTTAACCAAAGTTGCCCAGCACCTCTTCTAGATGATCTAGAATGAACTTTGCTCTTTATAATGTCAAAAACCCCAGGCGGTACTGTCCACCATTTTTAAAAATGTGCTTTAAGAAGCATGCCTTCTACCAACCTGGTGCGGGAATGTGCCTCTCTGTGGGTGACAAGTAACCTCAGTAAGCGTCCCTGCTACCTTTGTTCGCAGAGACACGGCTTTGGGAAGACATCCTCTGCCTCTCGTTTTTCCTTTACTTACTCATAAGTAAACCATTCTTCACTCTGATCTTTTCCTTTTCTGATTGTGCTCACTGGCTCCTCGATCACCAAGGGGGGAACGGACCCACTGTGTTCGCTTACAATCCTTTTTGTCAGTAGGATCCTTAATTATAAGCTTAAAAAAAAGAGAGAGAGAGAAAAAATAAGCAATTTAGAGTAAGGGTTTCCTACCAGACATCCAGCGGTTTCGTTTTAATGAAATTGGGACACAGAATATTAATTTAATGCCCTTGAAGCCATTTAGCCAGGTTGCCCAAGGGTGATGCACAGGTTTTAGGAAACGTGGCTGCTTACCCAAACGTTGTCAGAATGCGATAGGACACTGCCCACGTGGCTCGCTCTGTACTGATTCCTGCGGTCTCATGCCAACTCAGAACCCCGACCCTCGGGGACCGTCTCCGCGCCGCGAACGTTCAGGAGGGATCCGGGAGAACGAGCGGGGAGGCCGAGGAAGGTTCGGTGGGCAGGCACCGCCAGGTCTGAGCAGGGTCCTCGCCAGGTGCTCCTGGGCCGCCCCCCACCCCCCAAGCCCCTCAGCCTGGGACGCTCCCATCCCGGACTCTAGGGAACTGGGCAACGGTTCCTAGCCTCTTAGAGGATCTGCCCACCGAGCAGGACTTCCACGGCCCCTGGCCGCGCCCCTCTGCGGGGCGGGGGCGCGGCGGCCAGCAATGGCGGCGGCTACGGGGTCCCAGGGTCATTCTCCAAGGCGCCCTTGACTGGTTCACGCCGCGGTGCCACCTACCTTGCTAACAGGCGGCCGCGGCGTGCGGCGCGTAGGGGCGGAGAGAGCGGTGACGGGCATTTGGCGCCGCCAATGAGCGCCAGACCGTCGGGATCGTGGCCAATCAGAGCCCGAGAGGCGGAGACGCGGGTAGGTTGCGGGCAGGCGGCGCGTGTGGTGGATTCGGAGCTCCCGGGACCTTTCCTCCTGCGGAGCCGGGGTCGCCCGCCTCGCTAGTTCCCGCGTTCCCCGCACCGCAATTCCGCCGCCACCTGGACACTCGGAGGAGCGAGGGGGCCGAGCCCGCGCGTCTCCTGCAGCGGCGCTCTCCCCCGAGGGGGCTCTTCTCAGCGGCTGCTGCAGAGACATGAGAGGCGGCGCCTGGCCTGGGCAACGAGAGACGGACTCCGGGCCGGCCAGTTAGGGGACTTAGCTGACGGCCGCCCGCGCCCTCCCGGGCCCGCTGCTCTGCCTGCGGTGGCGGCATGTTCCCGCGGAGGCCGCCGGCCGGCCTGGCCGCCTGGCTAGCGGGGGCGCGGGGCGGGGGCCTGCTGGGCTTGCTGGCCAATCAGTGCCGCTTCGTGACGGGCCTGCGTGTGCGGCGCACGCAGCAGATCGCGCAGCTCTACGGCCGCCTCTACTCCGAGAGCTCGCGCTGCGTCCTACTCGGACGCCTCTGGCGCCGGCTGCGCGGCCGCCCGGGCCATGCCTCTGCTTTGATGGCGGCGCTCGCCGGCGTCTTCGTGTGGGACGAGGAGAGGATCCAGGAGGAGGAGCTGCAGAGGTGGGCTTTGCAGCGAGTCGCCCCTGTGCTTGGGGTGGGGTGGCCCGGGCGGGAGGTGGGGACGTGCGACCCTCGGGGCCTGCCCCGTGTCCCCTGTTTACCTGGTCTTCCTGTGAGTGGCGGTGCAGCAGACTGGAGCAGTTTTAGCAATTCACCTTGCTGCCCGTGTGTTTCTGCGGTTTGTTGCGTTAGAAGAAAGGGCTGGGAGTGGGGGGTAGGTCGGGGGGGGGGGGACTTTGGATGGGTAGTATGACACTGAAGACAACCTTAGGAGTACAGGGGTAGCTCAGTGCTGGAGCACCTGCTTGGCAAGCGCGAGGTCTGCGCTGGATTCCCAGCCCTAGAGATAAAGAAAAGAAAAACCACATTGTAAAAGTGAATACAGAAGGCGTGCAGGCCCTTCTTCACGAAATCTTTAACGTTCTCAGAAAAAAATGCAAATTCAGAACGACTTTAAACTCGACCTGAGGCTGTATTTCTGCAGTTACAAAATGACTGCCATCCAAATGGGACTCAAGCCTTGGGAGAAGTGGCCCGAGAGAGCTCTGTCATTGTGACTCCCGTCTGAAAGGAATTTAGAGGCTGGGAGGGATTTTGCCCTGCTTGCACAAACCGATAACCCAGACGTTTTATCCTATAAGAATTAGGTGAGATTTTTGCTACTTTAGAACTTTGGGTATCATTAAGGTCAGAAGTCATGCTGTCATTAAAACTTCTGGGTGAAAATCCAGTACCGTTGATTGTATTTGTTACTCTGTAGTTCTAAAGATTTGTTTTAGGGCTGGGTTGTGGCTCAGTGGCAGAGCACTTGCCTCATACATGTGGGGCACTGGGTTCGATCCTTAGCACCACATAAAAATAAATAAAATAAAGATACTGTGTTCATGTATAACTAAAAATATTTTTAAAAAAAGATTTGTTTTTAGCGCTTGAAGTATATGTCTCTTTATTTACTTTATTTCTTTTTTCCCCACTGTTACTGGAGTTTAAACCCAGGGCCTCATGCATGCTAGACAATCACTCTACCACTGAACTACATCCCCAGCTACTCTTTGTTGTTGTTGGTGGTGGTGGTTTTTGTTTTGAGATAGGGTCTCACTAAGTTGCCAAGACTGGCCCTGAACTTGTGATCCTCCTGCTTCAGCTTTGTCAGGAGCTGGGATTAAGGCATATGCCACCAAGCCTGGCTTGGATTTTCATTTTTTGACAGATATTTTTAGACTGTGTCCTCTACATAAGCACTCTTTTAAATTCTAAAACTGTGATTTCAGGAACCAGGGACAGTTCCCTCCTCCTCATAGATCCCACAGAGTATCTTTATTCTAGATATTTCTTGAACAGGGAGACCACCTGTTATTCCACATTTTTGGTTAGATTGAAAATGGAAATACAGCAGTAAAGTTTGTACCATGGCCTGTGTGGGAAGTGTAATACCCAGATGCCAGGCAGCTATTTGTGCAACACTATGAATTGTGGGTAAATGCAAGTCTATCTTAAGAACTGGGAATGCTTTTCCTAGCAGGAAGGATGACTTTTATAATGCAATTTAAAATCAGAACCACAGGGCTGAGGGTGTAGCTCAGTGGTAGAACCCTTGCCTAGCATGTACAGGGCCCTGGATTCCATCCCCAGAGCTGTTAAACAACCCTCCTCCAAAACAACAACAACAAAAAAACTAAGATCATAACTGCACATAGCCTCGTTCAAAAAAATTAAAGAATCAAAGCATGATAGCAATTTTGCCTAGTTCCTATTAGCATTCTTTTGCTATTTGGATATTTGTGCTAATCTTGCAAGAAATAAAAAAAATGAGAAGAAAATTTTAAGAAAATTGCCCATTAACTGTTTAATTTTCTTTCTTCCTTTTTTTTTTTTGGTACTGGGGATTGAACTCAGGGGCACTGAGCCACTGAGCCACATCCCAGCCGTATTTTGTATTTTATTTAGAGACAGGGTCTCACTGAGTTGCTTAGTGCTGAGGCTGACTTTGTACTCACAATCCTCTTGTCTCAGCCTCCTGAAATCACAGGTGTGTGCTATCTTGCCAGGCCCTAATTCTATTTTTTTTTTTTTTTTGGAGGGGGGCGGGTACTAAGGATTGAACCCAAGGGTGCTCACTTACTGAGCCACTTCCCCCCAGCCCCCTTTATTTATTTATTTATTTTTTGATACTGGATCGAATCCAGGGCCTTGTGCATGCAAGCCAAGCACTGTACCAACTGAGCTATATCCCCAGCCCGACCCCCTTTTAATATCAATTTTCAGTTGTGCTGGGGTTGTAGCTCAGTGGCAAACACTTGCCTAGCATGTGTGAGGCACAGGGTTTGATTCTCAGCACCACATAGAAGTAAATAAATAAACAAATTAAATAAAGGTCTATCAACAACTAAAACATTAAAATTTTTTCAATTGTAATTGGACACAATACCTTTAATTAATTAATTTACTTATTTTTATGTGGTGCTGAGGATCGAACTCGGGGCCTTGCATGTGCTTAGTCAGAGCTCTACCATTGACCCACAACCCCAGCCCATCCCCAGCTCTTTTTATATTTTATTTAGAGACAGGTTCTCACTGAGTTGTTAAGTGCCTCGCTAAGTTGCTGGGGCTGGCTTTGAATTTTCAATCCTTCTGCCTCAGCCTCCTGAGCCGCTGGGATTACAGATATGCGTCACCTCGCCCAGCAGCCCTCATTCTATTTTTTTTATTACTATTGTTTTAGTTGTCAACGGATCTTTTATTTAATTAATTTATTTATATGCAGTGCTGAGGATTGAACCCAGGGCATCACACATTCCAGGAAGGCGTTCTACTACTGAGCCACAACTCCAGCCCTTCATTCTATTTTTGATGAATTTCCTGTGTTCCATACTGGTGACCCTTGAAAAGAAAATCCTCAGGTGGATCTGTTCGGGAAGGAGAAAGGGTTAGTTGGTACAAAAGAGAGGGAAGGAATTGGGGCGCTGGGAGTTGAACAGTATTGGGGTTTAGTGGTAGATGACATTGTTTGGATTACTTAATGTACTTTTATGGGTGATACATCCTGGAGCTCTGGATGGCAGTTCTGCCATTTAGGGGAGCTGGAACGGAAAACAATTTAAGAAGTGGATGTATTGAACATTCAGATAATAAGTCAGTCCCACTCTGGCCATGAGATTGGGCCAGTTGCTGACCCAGGTGTTCATCCTGTTTCCTGCTCTTCAGTCAGTCTCTGAAACCAGGATCTGTTGAAACACTCTTGGTTCTAATCCAGCTCGCTTTGCAGTTTAGGTGAAGTCCAGTCAGACCACTTCTTTTTTGTTTGTTTGGGTGCTGGGAATTGAACCATCACTCTGCCACTGAGCGGTACCCCAGTCTACAGAGCACTTGGGAGCTGCCTTTTGTTTTGGTCTTCCTCCAGTTACTACAGTAAAGACCCATATTTAATACTTCATTGCCTTTGTTTTTGTTGTGGGGTTATTGGGAATAGAATCCAGGGAGGTTTCTTTACCACTGAGCTACATCTCCTCATGCCACGCCCTTTACATTTAAAAAAATTTTTTTAAATTCTGAGATAGGATCTTGTTAAGTTGCTTAGAGTCTTACTAAATTGCTGAGCTGGCCTTGGATTTGTGATCCTGCTGCCTCAACCTCCTGAGTTGGGGGATTATAGGTGTACACCACCAGCCTGGCTTAATACTTCATTGTCTAGTTCATGCTTGGATTTTGCTTTTCTTTTCTTTTTTCTTTTATTTTTATTATTATTATTTTTTTTTAGTTGTAGATGGACACAATACCTTTATTTTATTTGTTTGTTTTTATGTGGTGCTAAGGATTGAATCCACTGCCTCACGCATGCTAGGCAAGCACTCTGCCACTGAGCCACAACCCTGGCCTGGATTTTGCTTTTCTTATCATTAAATTTTGATCAAGTTGTTAATCTTGATCAAGGTTTGTTACCTTGATAGGGAGACAGATTATATATTATTGATTGTAGATTGTTTCCTTATGTCTCAGTTCTAATGTTTACATTTTTATTGAATAAAATGTGGATACAGTCTAACTTTTTTGCTTGATGTTTAAGTATTGTATTTGCTTTAGAACAAGTACTGCTGAGGTTGTTTCACCTAGCTTAGAACATTTGGATTTTGTTTGTTTTAGTGAGGTGGTTGAGAGATATTGGGTAGTTTCCAGAATGGAACACAGTTGTCTCAGGTCAGGTACAATTCTTTCATTGTTAATGGAAGAAGAGAATGATTGTCCAGTAACCCCTAAATTACAGCCTTTGTCTCACCTATGTTGTTTCTGTACCCACTTGTCCTGACGTAAACTAATTCTGACCCTTCCATCTTGGTTACACAGGGAAGTGTGCAAAATACCCGAGCTTTAGATTGGCATGTTTTTCTTATGTGTGTTTCTTTTCCGAATAAAAATAATTTTGCTTTCTATTCTTTTGTGTTTGAGAACATTTTACCAAGTAAGAAATTGATCTTATTTAGCAAAGAAGTAACCTGTACAAAGTGATTTTGACTTGTTTCTGGGGCCTCATGTAGAAATCAGATCTTTTTAATCCTTGCTCTAGTGTTCTTATCTAATTAGTTTCAATTAAACAAAATAATTTTGCTCACTATTCTTGGTGTTAGCTGGCATTCCGTGAGCCCAGGGCAAATTTTCTAGAAGAATACAGTAGTAATTTTTATGGCTTTGAAACAGTTAAAAAAAATTACAGGAACAAAAAGAGGAAGGATATTAAGAAATATGAAAATTAGGGGAAAATTTTCCATTGACCTCATCTTTTTTTTTTGTTACACCTCATTGCTCTATAAACTTGAGTAAAATAAAATAATTGCCAGTAAAGTTTCAAAGGGAAATTGGCCATTTTCCCAATTCTGTGTTTTAGCCCTAAAACGGAATATATTCACGTTTTCTGTATGTTATTAACTGGATGAATGATCAGTGTGAACTTTCTGGCTTACAGGAACACACACACACATATATATATATATAGTTTTCATGCTTTT